TCCAATCATATCCTTGCAAGACAGAAATGAACGGCAATGATCAACTCCCTCCCTCAACCCCCGTTCAATGTTGAAAGCTTAATAAATTAGTTAGGAGAAAGCTTTGTGAATTACAATCACAACCAACATTGGACGGGGAGATATACAAAATTGCCAATATGTGTACATGAATAGCAATATTTACGTGTCCACGAAATTTTTGCCATGATTGTAGTCAGACTGTTTCTTCCTATATAAGAATCAACACTTCTGAAGATAACCACAAATTTTTGCTCCGCAAAGCTCACTGAAACCAATGAATGAAATTGTAATCTCGTGTTATTTTGTAGATATGATGGTTTCTCTAAACCAGCTCGTCGTGCATTTGAAGCTTTGCATTTTCGAGCAGAATATGGTCTGTTCTCACAAGCCTATCTGGTAAGTAGTTTATCCCTAGATAAGTTCAACTTTATATCTCGTACCGTATGTAAAAAAGTTTCTTCTTTAATTGAGTACTGATTAGTAAACGAGCAGGAGTGTTTTTTAGGTTTAAAGCCACGAGCGCGCAGCGCGAGTGGCTTCAGACCTAATAAAACACGACTTGCGAGTTTATTAAACGACTTAACAAACACGACTACAAATTCTATAGATATAGTATTATTTATATAAAGAATACTAATTAGGAGTGTTTTATCAGGTTTAAAGCCACTGCACGTGACATATTATGGTTGGCATGATTTGCCAATAAGCTTATGAATTATTAATGAGTGTTTGAACACTATTTAGTTAACCCGATCCATTGAACATCTTTTGGAATCTCAAGATGATGATATGGCACCATTAGGACTTGATATGTCAAAACTATCAGGTAATTTGATGGGGTTTTGGTGCCATATTTGTTACTGCACGTGACTTTCGGGTCCGATTCCTGTGATATCTTGCAGTTTTCTGATTATAATTTCACTTCAGTCTCATGTGAGAAGAGTCTTTTAGTTTTGACTCTAGAACAGCTGGTTTTCCTCGGGTACTTTCGTTTCTAACACTGCATCAATAAGGGATGACCTCTAGAAAGAACAGTTAAGAACTGATAGAACTATCTACTATTTTTAGTGTTTCTCCTGTAGTATATAACACAGGATCATGCAATATGGGATGATGATTCTTACTTGATGGACCTCGAGGGAGAACAGTTAAGGACTATTATAGAACTATCCAGTATAAATAAAGTTAATCTAGCTTCTGCAACTGGATTAATATGGGATGTCTCTTACCGAATCTATAGCGAGAACTGTTTAGAACTGATAGAACTATCCAGTATAAATAAAATTAGTTTAGTTCAGGTTTCTCCTGTAATATATAACACTGGATCAATATGGGATGATCTTTCTTACTTTAAAGGATCTCTATGGGGAGAATGACCCTTACTGAATCTCTAGCGAGAAAGTTAGTTCGGTTTATAGGTTTTCTTCTTTGTGGTAACACAAGATCAATATGGGATGACCATTACTTTCACGTCTATCGAGAACAATACTATCTAGTATAAATTAAGTTACCGTGGCTTAGGTTTCCTTCAGTGGTAACACTGGATCAATAAGAGATTACTCATACTGGACTTCTGGCATGAACAGTTTAGGACTGATAGAACTATCCAGTATAAATAAAATTACTTTAGTTTCTTTCCTTAATCGTATGTCATTCATTTAGATTGCTCGGTCCAAAGCCTCCCCAAGTGCTTGGATGTGAAAAGTACTCCATGGAAAAGACGATGTCCTTACGAATTGCTTCTCGCAGATAAACCTGTTCCGAGCGTACTAGAACTTGATGAAACATTGTTTACTTCCAAACTTAAACTTCCCACCAAAGACTCGCGTCCAAAGAAAGCGAGGAGTTGGACAAATATCTCAAGCGGCAAGCCATCTCCTGTCGTCTCGTCTGTGAAATCGCCAGGTTCATTGGATACAACTGACTCGTCTAATACACCCAATTTACCTAGAGTGGAACATTTTGAAATGGTCACTGGAGTATGAGTGAGTAGACGTTCCCCCAAGACAGCTTCACAACACTTTTCGTGCGCAGTTTTGGTAAGTACATTTTCCGAATTTTGTTGTTATTTGACTTACTTTTGCAGACCGACTCCAAAAATGGTTGTCTTTTTTCTCTCGAAATTAATCTCAACCAACATAATCACTGCCGCCTTATTGAATACTCCAAGACTAACAGTGTTATAAAATATGAATATGATACCATGTTCTTTCTTTGAGAAATTAAATGTTAGAGATACCGGAGTTTTTGCTAGATTAAGCATAGAAGACTGACTGTAGCCTCGTTTTGGCGTTTTTTACACAGTTCAAAAAGCTATAATTTCGCTTGCATAGATTGTTTTCAATTATAAACTCTTAACTTTGCTTTAAAGCGGAGTCGCTGCTAAAATGTTGATTAGTCCGGTAGTGCATTTAATATACAATTTTATGACAATAATGCAAAATTATATGCAGCTATAATTTTCCAATCGATCAATATAGTTCACGCGATATTTTTCAATAAATTTAGTATCTATATTCGTATTTGTTAATCTTCCTAAAAACTTTCTTTTCGTGTATTTTAAATGTATTTTTTTACATAAATATTTTATTTTTCGTCGATGCCTAAGCAAAACAAAGTCACATTGACTCCAAAAAGCTGCGATTATAATTACCTGAAATATTCAAGGAAACAAAATACATAACAAAATAAATAACATTTTGCATGACAAAGTTTGTAATCAGATGAACAACATACATACAACATATACACAACATGCAACTTTCAACATACAACATACGTACAACATACAACATACAACTTTTAACATACAACATACACATACGACTTTCAACATACAACATACAACAATGCGTCGCAGTTGACATTTTGACGGCTTTCAACCATATTACAACTAACACATTTCGGAAAATGTATTTACCAAAACCGCGCGGAAAATGGCCTGGAACGAGGTCAACCTCGTTCCCAGGCTCTTTCCTCAACGAGGTTGGGAAGCTATCTTGGAAAACGTCTACTATCGTTACTGGTAATAAATATGGCATAATTAACCTTCCACACCAAGAGTTCCACCTTTCAATGTCACCGATTGTAGTCCAATGCTTTACCAATCCAATTCTCTACCAACTGAGCTACGACGTGAAGTCGAAAATGTTTTTCTTTTAATTGAAGTCTATTAACTGTGATTGAACAAACTGCACATGCAGCTTGCGCGGTATACATACACCACAATCATGATCATGCGACATTTAACAAAATAATATAAAACATTTTCCGTGTTGATATACAGTTATATCAACACGAGTGGAAATTGTCCGAAAGAAATTTTCCGACCGTTTTCGTCTTGACATTGAGTTATATCAACACGGCTCTTATAGCCAGTCAGCGTTCAGAATTTACGAGTGCTATATTATAAATCCTGATATCGAATGAACTAGACTGAGTTCCGAAATATCACCACATTTATCTATAGTCAAGTAATAGGAGATATTCGCTAAGAAAATTTAGTTAGTTCTAAGATCGACGAGGTTGTTAAACTTGTACTGCGCTCGTTTCCAACATGTCATGATGTGTAGTAATGTTTGAATAGCTTCTAATTGTTATACATATCAAAATTACTGGTTAATATTAAACTAAAAACACTTTAATACAAGTTTTGAGCGAATTTACTTCAAAATACGAAAAAAACATCTCATTGCTTGCTGTAGTGTTATGTAGCTATACTGAATCGCATGCTCTAACTGAACAACCATGAAATGATCGAAATGTATACTCTTAAAGGAAAATAGTTGATAAATGAATATAATATAAATTATAAATAATGCTTTTGTTTCCTTAAATGTGTCCAAAATTAATTACTTTTAGAACTTGACTGCACACGTAGCAAAATAATAAAAGACAAAGTGGTATATTTACTGTTTAAACATCTGTATTTAGCCAGCCTTTTTTCCCGCTGGTATATGTCGGCTTAATATCTACGATTTATAAGTGCCTACCAAAAATACAGCACTTGCATGTATATGTATGACTATAATTACTGGGGAAAAATAGTGAAATTCACACTATGGAATTTGTGATTGCGTCACTAAATCCACAGTATATCCATACTACTATTTCCATACTTATATCCATACTATTATTTCCATACTTATATCCATACTACTATTTCCATACTTATATCCATACTACTATTTCCATACTTATATCCATACTACTATTTCCATACTTATATCCATACTACTATTTCCATACTTATGTCCATACTACTATTTCCATACTTATGTCCATACTACTATTTCCATACTTATGTCCATACTACTATTTCCATACTTATGTCCATACTACTATTTCCATACTTATGTCCATACTACTATTTCCATACTTATGTCCATACTACTATTTCCATACTTATGTCCATACTACTATTTCCATACTTATGTCCATACTTATGTCCATACTACTATTTCCATACTTATGTCCATACTACTATTTCCATACTTATATCCATAGCATGGAAATTGCAATTAGTATGAAAATTGAATTTCCCCACTATTTTCAACTAAGATTCATACTATTTCAATAGTAAGGATTTTGACAGAAATTTCCAGTGAATGTAAAACTAAAAGTTATAATTTTGGACCGCTCTTTTGCTCTTCTGTATATTTTTTCGTAAATTAAAAGGTGATATACTTAGCGTCAATTATACCTACAGAAAAGACGTAAGTGTTCATTTTAATTATATTTTAATATTTTTTTATCTTACTTTTTCTTACCTTTTCGCAATGTTTGTAAATGCTGTTGCCGCCGTTTATTCAGATTTACCAGCTGCTCAGCTTTTCTTACGCTTTGTCATGCCAGGTTTTTTTTGTATTTGCTTTCTATATGCAGTATATCCGTTAAAAGAAGGCTATTTTGCCTGCATTGTTAGTTTTACAGCGATCACTCCAAGTAGCAACAGATAACATTGGTCGTGCTCAGAAAAAATGAAGTTTTTACTTTTGCTCTGTGTTATCGTAACAACGACTTACGCTCAAGGTAAGAGGAGTCTTTTTCTACATATTTACGCTCAAATTATAAAAAATATATAATAAAGTATAGTGCTTTATAGAGATTTCGAGCACTGATAAAACTGATAATCTCATATGTGAGATTATTTATGATAATTTCACAAGTGAAAATTATCGCTTTTCAATTATCGCTTTTCTGTAAAAATTATCGCTTTTCAAAGACTGCCCTTTATATAATAAGCAGAATAATGGTGTTTGGAAATACCAGATTTATTTCTCGTGTTGAACATGTTCATGAACATGTTGAACATTTCTCGTGTTGAACAATATCATGTTCAACACGAGAAATAAATCTGGTATTTCCAAGCACCCATGCATGTATTATTAATACTCTATGTACTACTTGGTTATGACTAAATTCAAATTTTGTTTCTGAAGTTGCTCAATCGGCAAGCAAGCTTCAAAATATGTTTAGACTTTGGTGTTTTATCTGTTTAAATTATCCTAAAATAAGACACTTTTGATGGTATACGATGGTACAAGCTTTACTATACTGCTGTGGCTAACCGCACGTATAAAATTAAGCTAAAACAAAGTAGCATTTTGTGCTATACGCTAGAAAGATTAAAAAAGAAACTGAATAACTTTAATTAAATAACTCCTATTGTCTCTGACGATGTCGTAGACGACGAAAGCTAAGACACCTTCCTATATTTTTACAGTTTTTATATTAAAATTTGCCGGCTAAGTTATAGGCTTTATTTTCAATAGTACAGTAACTTTTGGTCTCATTCGAACACACAACACTAATTACTGAAGGACACCTTTCTATACGTTTATTCTTGACCCGTTAGTCATTTGATCTATTCCCAATACACCTTACCGATTATTCTCTTCTATACCCAATGGTCTCGTTTTCATGTCAAATACATACTCATGTTTTGTGCTTAGTAGGGTTGAAAATTACTTTGTCATCTTTGCAGATGACTGCGTCGACAAAACGGCAACATCATGGTGTCAGCAGTATCAACACAAATGTAACGCTTGGAAGGGCTATATGATGGAAAACTGTCAAATGACTTGTAAATTTTGTGGTAAGAACTAATTAAAGTTTTCTTTAGAAAAGATATGATGCTTCCTCCAGATGAGTACAATCTGTCTGGCGTTAGGCCAAGAAAAGTAATTCTGTTTCTGGTCAGCGCGTCAACTTTTTTTATGAAAACCCCTGATCATCTCAAGGGAATTTTCCTCCCTGGTCAAGGAAATCTACTGAAATTTTGACACGAAAGTAATATGTTACATGTTTATGAATACAAGACAATTTAGTGATTAATCGCTTTTTCTTTTTATATGCTGCTTTAAATGCACAAAGGTGGAAAAATGTGATTTTTACCAGTATTTTTTAGTTGGGTCGTATTTGCTCTTTTTTTCTTGGATTGATACGAAAAGCTTGCATAATTTTCAGCTTATATTGCGGAATTTTCAAGGCATTTTTCCTTTAGCCATTGTTGTCCTACTTGTACGAATGTTTTTTTTCTTTTTTCTTTCTTTTCCCCTTGCATGACCCTCCCTCCCCCCCTCTTCCACCCAGCCCCACCCCCATCACCTTTCTATTGGTACGTCCCTTAAAATATATCGAAAAAGAAAGAGGACATTGACGCAAAAGTACTCGATGATTTTTTCAATATGACTGCCTTTTCAGTTGAAATTTCAATTGCATGTCGTGTAAAAAAATATTTTATTTTTTTCTTTGAAAAAGTTCCATGTAAAGATGGCAGTTTTTGTCAGAGCTTTTCGACAAAGTGTAAAGATTGGTCAGACTTGATGAAGGAGAACTGTCCAAAGATGTGTGGTTATTGCGGTCGTAAGTGTATACATACTGTAATATTCTCTTGGTCTAACATACTTTATTTACAATAACTTTACATCATTGTGGATCCTTATTGTTTGAATCTATTTAGTATGATTGTTCGCTATACTGTCTTTATGTAGTCTCTTACAATATGAAGTTATTTCGAAGTTATTTCGAATGTTAATAGTTAACCATACTACAATCCAGGGGTGGATAAATAGCGAACTTAAGCAAAGCTTAATCTAGTATACGTGGACGTGTCAAGAAACCGCCTTAAATTTTACACTTTTATATTAAAAAGAACCACCGTTATTAAGAACTTCAACAAAGCAGAACAAAAGTTGAACGAGAACGGCCAATAGTATCATGTGAATGGAAGAAAACGAGCAAAAATTACTAATTGAAATTTCACGGACGTTTTAGACGTCGCCGTAGCTCTGTTTTACAACGACGAAATACAGATTATCACGTCTTGTATAGAACGCTTACATTTCAAGCTATGACAACTGTTATTTTAAATTGGGTCCTAGAACTTTTCTCAGTCATAAACCCAGTGTTAATTTTGATCCTTAAAAAGTATTATTTTCATATGATGGATAATAGACGACAGGTTTTCTTCTGCAATCATTTGGTTCAACGAATTTGTTTGTTGTCGCCGTCGTGTTCCCCCGTCCTAGATGCTTAAGCTCGCTATTAACTTGCTGGGACCGCAAGAGAACATTGAAAATGTTCTGTACATAGTCAAATAAATCGACACTTGGACACTGTAACTGTGTGACGCTAACAAGTTGTCAAACTGGATGTCATTCTATATTTTACAGGAAAAAATATTTCACTGAGAATCTTAAAATATAACATAAAACTAATATAGCTAAAACATACATCATGAGTTAATCGTAAGGTAAATACAGATGCCAAAAAAGCTAGGGCACTAGTGCACTACTAGGGGACACTATCAGGGAGGGGATCTATGCCGCCCCAGAAAATTTTGAAAACCAGGTGTCCAAGATGGGCTAAAAATGTATTTGCCATACAACATTTGTTGCATCGTTCTATTGTCTGTCTATACATTTATACACTATCGCACTATTAAGATGGATGCACTTATAATTGCATTTCTGGGGTCATGGTGTGACTTTTCCTCAGAATTTCTTCTTTTTATCTAAATTATTACAGTTTTTCTTTCTTGGGGAATATTTTCTGGGAACTCAAAAACTTTTCTGGAACCAATGGTCCCGTGGTCCGATACTTTTTCCAGCCGTGCTACATTCCTCCCTTTCTTAGTTTAAATGAACATGAATCAGTTTCTTAGCCTACTCGTAGCCTGAATTTGTTTTGAAATTTCCGGCAGAGACCAGGCCAGATGTTTTAATTCTTATGTTATTTCTCCTCGGTTATTGTAAGACCGTGAGTTGAGGTCCGACCAACGATTGAACCCAGATCTCCCAGCTTGAAAGGCAAGCGTGGTGATCATGACACGTTACACAGGAGAAGACATTTGCTTGATAATGTAGCTAATTTAAACACGTCGCGATCCGATTTGCAAAGATTTTGATAGGCTTTAAAATCTCATCTCACTATAAATGTTCTGGCTTCAAAATTGGTTGATTGAATTCAAAAGGGTAGTCTATCCAGTGGTAGTTTTAGATCAGTAGAGGTCTTAATTTGGCCGCAATTGTACTAACTTTGTATCCTCTCTTGTTCCTACTAGCCACACCTGCCCCCACCCAGGCCCCCACCCAGGCCCCCACCCAGGCACCTACATGTGGTATAAAAGGTAAAACACACTCCCGTATCGTCGGTGGGGACATCGCGACACCAGGGGACTGGCCTTGGCAGGTCACGTATGACTGGCAAGGAAACACAGGCAACAAAGGACATTGGTGTGGCGCTTCTATTGTCTCTCCAAATTGGATCGTCACCGCTGCACATTGCTTTATGATGAGTAAAGATATCGCGGATTATACCCTCACTGTTGGTGAGTTTTTGAAAAATATTTCCACAATGGGTGATTTCAACTTTACACTAAATTTTGATACAGGCAAGACGAACGACATCGAACACCACAGCTAGAAACAGCGTCTTAAAATGTCTGCCTTTGTCTGCCTCTGTTAAAGCAATGCGGAATTCCGTACCCGTCGTTCGTTGTCGGCATCTTAAACTCCATAATAAAGGATCGCTTTCTGTATATCTCAAAGGAGAACATTTTTAGAACTGATAGAGCTATCCAGAATAGATAAACTCTATCTCTCCTTCAGTATATAGTAAATTAGAAACACTAGATTGATGCATAGGCATGCCTCTAAATTTTATTTTTGTGAACGTATAAAGGGTCTAGAGACGACTCAGGCAGATCCTGGCCAAATAGATTTTGGATTTGTCTCAATTTATGTTTTATCCTTACTGTATTTTGGACTTTTTGGAGTTGATAGTCATTTGCTCCAGGTTTAGCTGATAGTATTCCCTCCACATATTTTTGGAGTTAACCTGTAACTTATTTTGACATTTGAATAGCCAGCCATGCCCCTGGAGAGAACAGTTTAAACTGATAACGTTATCCAGTAAAGATAAATTAGTTTCTGTCCTGATAACTAAAGATATAGGCTAACCAGATTCTCTTGATTTCAGGTGATTTTGAGATTGGAGCTCACGAAGGACATGAACAAAAAATGAAGATTTCAAAAATTATCCTACATGAACAATACGACTCCTCGAACTTCGACTACGATATCGCTATGATCAAGCTGAGCAGCCCGATCACTTACACAGAACGTGTGAAACCCATCTGTCTGCCTTCCTCTGGTTTGGACTTCAGTGCTGGGACTCAATGTTTTGTCACTGGATGGGGAAAGCTAGGCGAATCAGGCTCATTTCCTAAACACCTATACCAAGCCAAAGTACCGCTGGTTGAACGTCAACATTGCGCAAGCACATATGCACAACACCATGGGTATACTATAACCAATCGCATGAGGTGTGCTGGCTTTGACGAAGGTAAGATTGATGCCTGCCAAGGCGACAGTGGTGGTCCTCTCGTCTGTGAGAAGAATAATAGGTGGTATTTGATGGGGGCTGTCAGTTGGGGTGTGGGGTGTGCCAGAGAAAAAGCCTTTGGTGTCTATGCTGATCTCACTGTCCTTGGGTCTTGGGTGCAAAACACCATGAAGAATAATTAACTGTAGTGAACTTTACATGCGAGTGGACTTCAGATTGTACGTATGTGATTCTTGATTGTACGTAATGTGATTCATCAGTTCCCAATAAAATGTGCGCAAAAAAGTGTAGAGCTGTTGTATTCATCTTGAAACAGAAAATTCTAACTTACGATTCTAATTGTATAGTGCTTACGCAATTTCACACAATTATTTAAATTTCACACTATTTTTTATGGCTGCATTGGAAAAAAAATTCAAAATAAGATACTTTCGTTTGCCAAACTATCACGCATAGCTTCCTTCGTTCTTGAGCTTTTAGACAAGTTTTGAACTTTTCATTCATTTTTAACAACTTTTTAGTGCGGGCTATTCACACAATGATATTCCTGATCTCGTACAAAAGAAATGAATAATTAAAAGCCCCACTACACAAGAGTTAGAGACGTTGTGTTAGGGCTTTTTACAACGGCAAACCAGAGATTTTCACGTCTCGTGTAGAACGCAAACATATCAAGGCGACAAGTGAAACTACAAATTTGTTCGCAGAAGCGTGTTTAACCATAAAACCTTTGTTTTAGTCTCATCAAACTGAACTCAATTCATATACACATGCTGAGTGGAATAGTGGATAATACACAACAACTCTTCTTCGCAATAATTTATTTGAAGAAGTTTGTTTTGGCTGTCGTCGTCGCGTTGCCGTCGTACATGCTTAAAGGCCGTTTTCCATTAACGTTCGCTTTGCCAGCGCGGGCGAAGCGTTCATTGTTTTTGACGACCGTCACGCCCGCGTGAGCAGATTTTCAAAGACTGCTCCGCCCCGCGCGGGCAAAGCGACTGCAATGGAAAATTGCCTTAAGGCTATGCTTAAGGTCCCTAATGCATGACCACTCCCTATACGCCGATGATTTAGAATAAAGAGGTTATTTTTAAAATCATTTGATCCTTGCATGGTTTCCTATTAATAATGAAAACTTTATTAAATGCATATTTAGCTCATATATACAATTGCAAATCTCACTTATATCAGGTAATTTACAACTGGCTACTTAAATCACGGATTATATATGCAAAAATTATACTATTAAGATAACAAAACGACAGTACAACGATTAAACACTTAACAGTTCCGGGTTCATCCATTCCTTGTTTCGACAACAAAATATATAATACGTTGTTCGGATTGCAATCGTCGTCATTCTTCTAATACAGTAATTCTAATAATAATAATAATAATAATAATAATAATAATGGAAACTTTATTTATTGATTATTAAGATATATACAACTACAATGATAAACCTCGCTTTACAGGTAGTTTATCAATGTCTACTTGAATTGATACTATATATTTATTTATTGTACAATAATTATTTTAAGAAGGATTATATTAACATTAATTTTGGGTTATCCCACACCTTGTTTCGTTTACAAAATATATAATATGACGTTCGTATGCATATGTTCACGATTTTCTTTTTTATGTATTTACTATACTTGGCATCACATTTAAGGCTACTTAGCATGCCATCGAAATTTTCAGAAGGTCGGCCAAAACCCCGAGGGTACGCAAGGATAAATTGACGAACTTGACTTTATCATAATCTGCTTCCTGCTCATTGATTAGATCACGGTACTTTTGACGCTTACGATTGGCGTTAACTTGCAGATTGGATTCATAACCGACTGTAAGCTCGAGGATGTATAGACATCTGTTTTCAGTCACCAGCAGAAGGTCAGGTCGTAAACGATCTCCCGTGATAACAGATGGATTCATAAAACCAGGAATGTCCGCGTAAAGTGTGGAATTTTTCACAGCAGTAAGAGTAGATGCGAGGAAATTTAAAACAGAATCGTGTCGCCATGTAAACGGGCCTTCGTCTAAATATGCCTTACATCCAGCAATCACATGGAGCAGCGTTTCAGGTGAGGAGCAGAAAGAGCAATCGGATATTGATGATAGTCCCCATTTTGATAGGTTCTTTCGTGTTGGAAGTGTGTTATTGATATATCGGATGGTAATAATAATAATAATAAAAATTTGGAAAGGGGGCAAAAAGCAGCAAAAAAGTGAGGCTATGGCCTTTACTTTTCGTCCATTTTAAGCGAGTTTTTTTCATTTTTCATCAAGGGTTAAAAAACAGTTAAAAAGTAAGGCTATACTACTTTTCGTCAATTTTTTAGCGACTTTTTCCAATTTTGAAAGAAGTGAAAACAGTAAAAGATAAGGCTATAGCCTTAACTTTTCGTTTATTTTTAGCGACTTTTTCCAATTTTGAAAGAGGCAAAAAGCAGTAAAAAGTTAAGGCTATAGCCTTTTCGTCCATTTTCAGCCACTTTTTCGATTTTTGAAGGCTACAGCCTTAACTTTTCGTCGATTTTTAGCGGGGTTTTTCTCCATTTTTCATAAATGGGCAGAAAACAGCAAAAAAGTAAGGCTATAGCCTTAACTTTTCGTCCATTTTCAGCCACTTTTTCGATTTTTGAAAAAGTGGCGAAAAACGGCATAACTTCTCGTCCATTTTTAGCGACTTTTTCCATTTTTCATAAATGGGAAAAAACAGCAAAAAAGTAAGCTAAGCCTTTATTTTTTGTCCTTTTTAACGACTTTTTCCAATTATGAAAAGGGGGCAAAAAGCAGCAAAAAAGTGAGGCGATAGCCTTTACTTTTCGTCCATTTTTAGCGACTTTTTTTCATTTTTCATCAAGTGTTAAAAAACAGTTAAAAAGTAAGGCTATAACCTTAACTTTTGTCTATTTTTAACGACTTTTTCCATTTTTCATAAATGGGGGAAAAACAGCAAGATAATAGTTCGTTTTTTCGTGTACAGCTCTATCACGATTTCTTGTCACTTTTTGAAAATAATTAAGTGTCAAAAACTTTACTTTTCATCATTTTTACGTGCCAAATATGAAAGGCTCAGGTCTTTCATTTTTGGCAACTTAATTTTTGCTGCCGAAGGCAGCACTCCTAATCTTGACATGAAGGTTTCTCCAGAGTTCACTCGACCCAGTTTTTCGCGCCGATCTATGTATTGTCGAGATGTCGATTTGTGTCTGTCCGTTAAGATGTCGTATTTCCGGGGGGGAACGGACGGGGGGAGTGCGAGAAAAATATCAAATTGCGCGTGTACATATTTATATGGTTATAGTATATGCAAACTTATTCTGGATTTCACTTGATGCAAAATATACGAACATTTCCAGAAGAAACCAGGTAAGTATGGCTTTATTTCTTTGTGCTAATATCCATCAAGGCTATGAATTGTTTAGCGTTCATTCTGGAGGCAAGCAATGTGCTTTTATGTCATGAGTTTACGGCGCTTCTTAATACAGCCCGAAATATTCCCATTGTCCGTATGGTCGTTTAGAACATTTGATAATGTTTATAAATACAAGGAGACAAGATGTACTTTAAGAGCTCTGAAGTATTTCATGAATTTACTGGCAGTGTCTAATAGCCCACCAGATCTATTCGTCAATAATGCCTTATTTACGAGTCACAATGTACTCAGTTTTAATATTTGTTTGTTATGTGCCAAGACGATGAGTAATAGTGTTCATTTCTAGATGTTTATAGTTTAACAACAAACGCGGAATGCTGTTAAATCAGGCTTACTGTGATAAGATCCCTAGAGCAACCCAGTGTGGATTGTTCTCTGCACATATTAACTTTATACCAGCAATATGATTACATGTAATAGTATGTCAACTGATTTTTTATGACTGTGTGTTTATTGTTAGCATAATATGAAATAATCCTACCAGCCTACATTCATATATATATAATATATTCATCTGGCTGTGTCACTACATTTCACGGTGTATTATATTTTTCGATAAATTATGTTCACAATTAGAAATGTCAACAAATAGATATTGTCTCCCCATCAGCATATTGATATTGTTCTGTTGTCAACTTGTCAGCCTTGAAGGTGGCATATTAAAACAATAATTGGAATAAACCCCGACTTAGGGCCTGTTTACATGGAGGCGAGTTACCCGGCAAGGCGAGTTACTTGCCCAGGCGGGACAAACAAGCGCTCTGTTTATATGGAACCAAGTTACTTGGCATTTGTCGCATGATTGCTGCATGACGGATTTAAGTCGTTTGAAACGCTAAAAACATTACAAAATATAGTGAAAGTGCAAGAATAAGCGCCGAGCAATTCAGGAAAACTTATCTATCGATTCGTTTGTATTTTTGAGCTATTATATTGCAATGGCAAAGCACATATTACATTCTATCTCGGGTGGCCGAGTTACCTGGGCAAAGTGTTTACATGGAAAGTATTCATCTGGCCTAGGCAAGATCCCGCCTCTTCCTGCCGGGAACTCGCCAAGGCGAGTTACTCGCGCCTTGCCGGGTAACTCGCCTCCATGTAAACAGGCCCTTAGTATTTTTATATAAACATTGTACATAATAAATTCTTTGATTTTGTATGTTTGCATGGCGATAAAATATATAATAGTTTAATTTGTTTGTCGGGAAACACCACGTAAATTTATTACTGCAAAATATTCAAACCTGTACATTTAAACATTGTATCGGTATTCAGCGGCAAGCTAGCCATGGCAACTGGCCATACTGTATGCATGCTATACTGCCGATAAACCTGCATCTATTTGAATAATGCAAATCATTAAAAACTTGCATAGCATGACCTAGTGTTGCTATGACTAGCTTCACCACTGACAGCAGCCTAGTCCCAGGCTCTCTCTCTATTCGCTGCTTTGGTATATTTAAATAAGTCTTAAAAGTTTTATGCCTGGGTGCCTGTGCGGAACACTTCAGCGAGAGAGCCTAGCAGATTTCGGTAAAATGGTCCCTGATTTAAAAAAGTGGTCCCTGGCCTGGTTACCAAGCATACCGCGTTTGTAAAGAGAAAATGTTATGGAAATTTCTTTTGCGTTTATAATTAAGTCATTAGTTTCGCTCTAATGTTGTCGGAACAATGAAATAGGCTACGTTTCGCTACCATACGGTTAGAAAGGAATAACGGGGCTAAATATGACTCGTGTTTACTAAAATATAAGCCATATTAAATGCTATCTAGAAGCTTGAAAATTATGCCGAGTCTCCGACTAAAAATGTTTTGACAACACAGTCATGTCAGGCAAATATTTCCAATCTCCTCAGCTACTTATATTAAACCTGTCAAGTAGAAAGCGTAGTTTTGTATACCAGTATGGTCCAGTGTTGATCACAACTTTCACGACCATTGCTCAGACTCAGTATCGTAAATTTGTATATATTTTCTTTTTAGTTGAGCACATTTTTAATACAGTATGAATTTGGTTATGTAGACATCGAACATGATCAACGAACATTGTCGTATTTACAAGGTTATTTGTAAAATTATTTAAATTTTCGCCATATTAAAAATACTGAAATCTGCTAGGCGTTCTGAAACACCTTTAGCGGTGACGTCACACCTAGGTCCTAGTCTCGCACTACATGCACGTTTTTTTTCTCGCGCTTGCTTCAGAACGACTGGGACTAGGCTGCACTGACAGTATTATAATTATACAACAGCAAGACGTTATAAGCATTGAAGATATTCATATAAAACCGCCCATGCCAAGAAAGTGGAATTAGAACTTTCAGCCGCCCTTCGACTTTGTGCAAGATGTTTGATATTCAAATTGCACTTTTCCTACCTCCTGAACAGGCGTCTTAAGGGCTGTTTGCATGTCATGGAAGAAGGGATGATTTTGATGTATTAAAATATTAGTCACTCGGCTAAATGAAGTTCAAACGCTCAAATGTAGAGAAGTAGTTCAAATGTAGAGAGGATCTTGTGGTTCAAGAAGGTTATATTATGTTTGAACAAGCAACCTTTTTGTTTAATACAGTTACTAACCATACTGTAATCCATCTCTAGAAAATAGTGAAATTTTTTGCTGAATCATGCATCGTGACTTATTTAAGCACATCAAAATCATCCTGCCTCACATCTCCTGGCAAAGTGGGATCATATAAACAGCCCCTTATTCAGCAAATTGTGCATGCTGCCTTTAATCCCTTGGGGTTGAGGCAGCATTTTCCTTGCGGTAGTAACTTCTAGTTTTAATTAAAATTTGGTAGTGAGAGATTATGTAGAAATTATTATAGTTACCAGTGCTGAGTAGATGTACTAGTCGAGTGGTAATCTCCTGCTGAGATAGAATTGCGGATCATAATTTAATGTCAGGGATCGTTGTTCAATTAATTCCACCAGAAAAAGTGTCAAGTAGAATAAAAAAGAGTTTAGGCAAGCGTAGGCGAGATGGTCTAGTGGTAAGGACAAAGTGTTGCAAGTGTGTGAAGCCAGGTTCGAATCCTGCTGTAGGCAAAAAGCATTTTAATGTCAGGTGTCGTTGTTAATTAATTCCACCCGAGACGACAAAGTGTTAAGTAGAATAAAAATGAGTTAAAGAAAGTGTAGGCGAGATGGTCTAGTGGTAAGGACAAAATGTTGAAAGTGTGTGAAGCCAGGTTCGATTCCTGCTGTAGTCAAAAAGCATTTTGGGTCCAACAAGTGTGTTCATGTGTGAGTAAAGGGTTTGGGGTTGGTTTATCTTATATATAAAATTCAACTATATAGTGACTATACAGCTGGTAGTTAATAGCCGGCCGCTGGCTGTGTCACTTCCAGGGGTTAATAGGCTGATTATTACTCATATTCTCATGTAAATTTGCGCGATATAAATATTAAATTATTATTATTATTATTATTATTATAATTTCAGCACGGCCTGTGTTATTCTGTAATACCTGTATTAATCATTTCAGCAACTTCGGCTAACTTGCGTTGTTTTTGCTGAACCCTCTGTCATTTAATGTGCATGCATAATATTAATATTTATTTATTAAGTAAATATGTTATACAGGGTGCCCCAGAGGGGACCAAACAGTGGCGTAGACAAGGGGGGGGGGCTCAGCCCCCCCCCCCCCAATAGGCTGAAGGACTGCCCTTGTAAAAAGATGAAATCCGGGTAGAAATTAGGGGGGGGGACGATGACTACCCATGTGACTACCAATCTCATCTGTTCACCAAATTGTCTATAAAAGTTCTAATCTTTCCTAAATCTAACTACAGAAAATAATGCCTATGGTGGTTATTGGTTAAAATACGTTTTAAAACTTCGATTTAACTATTCACACGCGACCAAGTAAGCTTCGTTGAGTCAAATTAAGGATCCACATTATTGAGAAATCATCAAAAATCAGGTCTTTCCTGCAGTAAATAATCTTCAGAATTATGCAAAATCTCTCCCCAGAAACACGGGAAATCGCCATTGAGGGACTCCAGATTTCAAAATTTTCCCGGGGGAGAATGCCCCCGGACCCCTCCAAAAAGGCTTACGCCTTCAGCGTTCGATATATGCCCCCTCAAAAATTATAGTCTGGCTACGCCACTGGGACCAAAGCTGTTGAGATGGCGTGTTGCTTGGGAATTGAATTGCCTTAGCACTCTGCTGAAAAAGCTTGACAAAAGTAAATTTTACGAATAAAGAAACTGTTTAAGAAGTTGCTTTAAATTCCAAAGAGCAGATAATCGTGAGCTTACAAAGATATTTTAATTTCTTCAATACTCATATTATATGCATCATGTCAATCATATTTACGTATCTTTGCGTTCAGTTGGTGCTGGGGCGTTCGGATTCTGGCAGTGCGTTGTTTCAGTGGTTTTGGGTTTTTTTGGGACACCCTGTACAGTATACTGTACAAACCTTTTAATTAAAAAGGTTTATGTTAGGAAGAGCCGAAGAGGAGGGGCACCATGCAATGGACTTTACGTCCAGTTTGTGCCTTGTCCGTTTGAGTACAGCTCTTTAATTGTATGTTAGATGAATAATTGTTGAATTAATTTGTACTCGATAAAGTTTAACAAACAAACAAACATTATTAATTATATTAAACCCCTCGTGAATTAACAAAACAATCAACCTCACTGCCTCAAAACCCTCCTCCCCGTCATACAGCAAACTTTTAGCCGTTTTTTATAAATAAACAACGGATGTCGAGAGCCAGCGGTCCATCACGCTAGATATCTCGTCGCTAATATAAAAGGCATCGAAGTAGACTAGTTTGATAACCAAGTATTTTTAAAACCAACGACCTTTTTTATTTATTTCCGTTTCCGATGAAAAATTTTCCAATTTTGAAACACTGCTTGGTGACTTTAATTTCCTCGATGCAATCTTCGTGGTTTTAGTTTTAGAAAGCGTATG